AAAAGGTTTATGCTTCTTATTGCTCTTCTTCTCCTTGTCCTTCTTCTTCTTGTCCTTGCTGGTGTAGCTGAATGACTGAATGGTTCCGGTGATCTGCGGTCCGGATAGCGCTGAGCTTTTGCGAGAGTGCGACTGAGCGGACGATGAGGAGGCGGGTCCGGCTTGGTTTGCGGGCGGCTGCTCTTCGTCCTCGTCATCGCCGAACGGGTTCTCCGTCTCCTTGAGCACCTTGGATTTCTCCTGCGTCACGATGTGCTTGCGCTTCGGGAGTTCCTTGTAGAGACTGGCGACGCGCTCCATTCCGCGCACGTTCTTGTACTCGGACGCCCAGCTGCGGAAGAGCTCGGCGCATTTCTTCTTAACCTCCGGGTCGGACAGGTCTGCCGTGCCGCAGAAACGCAACCGCTCGAGCAGCGGCTCGTCGGCAAAGGTGCGCTGGAAGCGGGGGCCGGCATTCTGGATCAGGCCGTCCAGGAGGGTCAAGGCGCGGAGCTGGCGATGCAGGTTGCCGTACTTTAGCTTTTTCCTGATGGCACGGGCAAATTCGCTAGGTCCGGAGTCCTGCAGGTTGACGACCTCGACGAGGTCTGGGATCCCACTAAGATCGTTCTCCGGGATAGCCTCACTCGTCAGCCGCTCGACCGTAACGGTGACTGCCGTGTAGGGCTTCTTCTGTATCGGGGGTTAACTTTTGTTTGGAGTCATAGGTCGAGGACCGACACTTGCCTGGGAGAACATGATGGCTGCCGAGTGACCGAGGTCGCTTTTCTGGAATGTTGTTGTTTAGAGAAGCTTGCTTTAAAATATGAACAGAAGGCCTGTCCCAGCGTGACACCGGAGAGTGCAGTGAGTAGGAGGCAGTCGGCTCGGCAGACGATGAGACAGAGGACAGGTCAGTTGGATGAAGGAGCGATGTCAAGCTCGCAGGTAAACAAAGATGACACACCCGCTAGGTTAGCCACCGGGACCAGACCTTGAGGCACCTACTTGACCTGTTGCCGAGCTCCCACGATGCCAAGTGAAAGCTTAAAGAAAAGCTCGAGAATCAAGGCTGAGTAAGGCGTTAGTTAATAAAGCCCGAGGCGCAAGCTTCAGGAGTGGCAGGTCACAACAGTCCAGTGTCGAGCATCCGATAAGAGGGATGATAGTTTGCCAATGGCGGGGTAGGTGTTCGTGTTCCCAGCTTTGTTTCACCTGGCACCGCGCGGTCAGCGGCGCACTTCCTGATCCTATGACTTTGACGGGGTTGCGAATGGTCTGTCGCGCATTTGTACTTCCACCATATCATCTCGAATGAAGTTAAGAAAACTTACAAAGAGGGAGATAATAAGAAACAAAGAAACCGAACTTCATCGCGAAGCTCAACTACGGCCGGTCCTTCGGCACCTGCCCCGCAATATCTCTCCATGGCGTCAATGTCCAGTGCATTCACCTCCCCAGGGGCCAAGAGCAATTCCCCACCTCAGCCGCCAGCGCCCGGCCGCCTCGCTTAGCGAGTACCCGGCCCTGAGTCTCGGCAGCCTGCAGCCACCCGACTTTTCAGCCTGACTGCTTGAGCGATCCCACAGTGTTTGGTTGCCAGCTGACTAACTCCTGGGACCCGACAACACTCACCGCACAGCCAACGCAACCGTCTCGCAGCCTGCCTATGACAAGGCAACGACAATTCAGGGGCTCTGTGAAGAGTTTGATGGACAAGAAGTCTACCCGACTTTATCGAAACATCCCGATCCCAGTGGTAAACTCGTCCTGAGCGTCCTGGGGATGTTAGGGAAGGCGTTCAGATAAATGGCAAATCCATCCTCAAGTTAGAGAGGCGGTGCTATGCGTGGGGTTCAAGATGTCAGGGCCAGGAACTGAAAAATGGTAAGGTTCTCAGGACTGGGTCCCGTCCGCTCGAACCTCGTCTCAGAAGACTGCCCGAAGTATGTTTGCAGAAGAGGCAAGAGCATTTGGTGTGATTGCCCATCTACTCTCAGCGGAGTGGATACCTTGTAGGTTGGTAGGTACCTTGGGTATATATCGCGATGTTGGGAAAGAACGACTCATGGATCCTGTCACGGATTTTCGAACTTGGGACTCGAGGAAGGTGTCCTCCCACCTGCTACTTATCCAGCGGCTCTACCCTTCATAATCCATCCATCTTTCCAAAACATCCTCTGGTCACTTCCTAACCCACACCTTCCTCACTTTGTAGGGTCCCTCACACAGCTGAATACTACTATTCCGGTATGGTCACTCACTTTCTTGCCTATATTTGTATTTGTATCTGTATTCTCCTCATTCAGACCTGCGGGCACCGAGATGCATCCCTCTGGAGACGGTCCCGAGATGGAACCAGATTGTGGCCGCGAGTGAGTGAACCTACTTCCGTGTTGCCAGCTTCGAGCTCATTATTTGTTCAAGGGATCAGTCGCCGGCAACGTTCGTCTCTTCAATCCTTCCCATGATCCAAAATGCTCCGACTCCATGCCACAACTCTAACCACGGATACGCTCTGGAGAACGGCATCCCACCATTCCCTACACCGGGAAAGCACCACATCACCTCGACCCAACACCACTCCAAGAGACTGAAAACAGATGTCCATCCTTCGGAGACCGGATATGCTCAGTCTCTTTCTCATCAGCAACAAAATATCCCATATCATCAAGCAACACACTTCCTGGCGCCAGACGAGTTGACCTACTCCGACAAATCTCACAAGTACCATGAGCAAGCCTTTTCTTGCGGCGACGACTTCGTCCAAGATACGACGCCTTTGTCAGGAGAAATTAACAGGCCACGATTGCTCTCAAACTCAACAGCGGACGCATATAAAGTCATAATACCCTCAACCCTATCACCTAACGGTGTGTTTCACGACACCGGAGAATACAGTTCCTTTGAAGGTCAACATACACCGTCATACCTGAAGGTTCAGGACGCTCACACACCTAACGAGTCGTGTCTGTTTGGCTGTTACCCTGGCCAAACAAGCTGGCCTCTTGAGGCAACACAGCCTGGTGAGAAGGAATCACTAGAGTTCACCGCTTTTGTCGATTACGAGCCTGCGACATCCCTTGAAAGGCAAGGACCATCAATTCCAACCAGTGGCCCAAGTCACATTTCGGTGACTCAGAGAAGTCCTCATGTGACTGACTACGACTACAAGGACGCTGTGAAAGCTTTACGGGGTATCTCGGGGGTTGAGTTCACACCCAGTGGAAACGATGGAGAAGACTATTTCCTGGCCGAATCCGACGAAGAAGATATGATCAAGCTCATCGATTCCTTTCCTTCGGCTGTTCATCAGTTGCCCCCTTCCAGCGTTGTGAGAGACATGGATGCGGACTCTACCATTAAGGTATTCGATCCAAGCCTCCAGAGATCGTCACCAAGGGAGAGTCCACAGTCTGGAGATGTTGTCAAAACGGAAGAGCAACGAAAAATCGAAGATGAAAATCTTTTGTCCTCGGATTTCGACTGGGACAAAGTTCTTGACTCGTCGTTGCCGCCTCAGAAGGCAGCATTCACCTCGAATATCACTTCCGAAGTCGCCGCGACAAACGGAAGGAAGCCGGTGGCTACCGAGGGCGGAACCGAAGAACCCGACAGAACCACATATCCAGCAGAACTCCGCCAACCAATTTCGAGGCCACCATTCCCCAGTGTCGTGAGGGATAAGTCTCCTGTTACTGGCCTATCAAACTCTTCATTCTTTCGCACATGCTTTCGTGTCGGTCACTTCATCAGCGAAGGAATACAGTATTTCAATACTAAGCAGGAGACAACATTCGAATTATATGCCCGGGTCACTTACTCGTCGCGCAATAGGAAAGAAAGGGTCCAACATTTCCAGTTTGCCGATCTTATAAAGGATCAGCATCCATTTCCCACGGGGACTTTAACTGGTTGGCGTACGGACTCATTGCTGGACAGACAAAGCTCTGTGTTCTTGGGCGCCGGGAATACCCCTGCAAAGTCGAAGACATGTCGGCTAATTTGCAAGCTTACGAAGGACAAGAAAACAGATATGGGTTGGAATGTTGTTGTACTATCTCTTCGTGAAGTCTCTTGGGAGGAGATCTACGCGATGAAGAGAATCATATGCCGGGAGTGAACTAAAAGGGGAACTTGACCGGCATATATCGACGATAGTTGAGGGAATTCTAGGCGTGGATGAGGTCCCGAAACATCACATCATTTCGTCGCAGATGTTGCAATTTTGCTGCATATACTTGCATTTGTCAGATCTGTGATTGCCCCAAGATTGCTATCGGGTCAGAGGATCCCGGGAGTCCAGGGGTTGGAAGGAGGCATATCGATAGCTGGGTAATCATCAAGTCGATTATACGATGCTACAACCCGAAGCAAGTACCGTTATTATTCAGAGTAATACTCTCTATTATTATGATAGTCATCTGCTGACACTGTGGTTGAAGGCCAAAGAACAGTTCGAATGAGCGTAATCATGGAATCCCGTTCTAAATCTCCAATTTCTTCGGTCATGGTCATGAAAATTGCTGAAAGACTCCCAGAGGTCCAATCTCTAGACTTATCAACGGTTCTTTGGGTCATCATACCATGTGATCTAGTTCAGGTAGCTCTCGCCTTAGAAGTGAAAGCTACATATCATATCATCCACCACGCTTGGCATAATAACTCGAGCCTCATTCTCAACACTCTACCTAGTGATCTCTATCTACCCGACAGGTCTGTTGTTTGATATGAATATCTTCTCGCCCCTATTATTTTGTTGAAGCCCGCAAACAATAGGGTAAGCTCTTCTGGGCCTCTCCTTTCACTATACTTCTTAACATCAGCTTTCATTGTCATGCAAATCTCCCAGTTTCTATTAATATTTCCGGTACACCATTAACCTGTAATATCTTGGACCGCTTCATGATAAGGTACAAAGTAACTCATCGAGAATGGCTTACAGGCCGCCTAAACCCACACAGGGGGCCCCACGAGCTTCTTGTGGCTTCAAGGGCCACCCATTCCACAGTCACAACGAAGCCCGCAGGGCTCAGTGGTAGAGCGGATCACTAGTACATCCAACTTCTTCCCAACGAAAGGAGTATTGAATACTTGGAATAATGAGGTCGTCAGTTCAATTCTGGCTGTGGGCATATATCTATCTATACGAAATCAAATGTTGCCTTGACGCATTTGCATTAGACCTTCATCTTTTTTAACCTGTAATGACTCGCTGATATCTTTCTCGAGTCCACGCAGACACCTACCTGTAGATGAAATTCCCCTGGTTGCTGAGGAGACGACCATTATTTTTTTTACTCTTTTTCCAAATATCTCCTCCTATAACTTATATTACCAACGAACCTTCCTCCTGAAGTACCTCTCTCTCAAACCACAGCAAGCGCAGATAACAGCACATTTCACGCTAATAACGGAGCAACAGTTCTCCTCGAGTGTGCTAAGAAGTCCAGATATCGCAGTTCTTATCTACCGGTAGGTACACATCCTCGACCAATTTCCAGCGGAAGAACTGACCGAAACGGAGGCTGGCTGGCATCATTTGACCATGTTTAATACGCACCATTCCGTATGCACGCACGTACACTATAACCGGGACAGAACGGAACAATCAAAATGTCACAGCAGATGATCATATGTCAGATCCTAAACAACGGGGTCGGGAAACATCGAACGGGTCACATTCTCTCGAATCCGTGCGTTGGCCGTAGAAGCATGTACAGAGCACTTAATTATGCAGACAAGCTGCAACAAAGGCGTGAAAAATTAACGTTCCGCAGTTTTCCGAGAACGAACAATACAGTTACTCATCAGTTCAGAAACATCGGACGAAGAGTACACGACATGCGGGTACCAGACAGTCAAAAAGTCTATCATCATAACTGGTGTGCATCTACCTGTATATGTCATAAATGAAGTACGCCAGCCCTCAACGCTTGCTTCTCTCTCCGCATTCAAATGTGAGAGCTGGCCGCAAGGTTGCTCGCAGCTGAGATTCTCCAAGGTTCTGGACGATCACTTGGAGATGGATGGATGGGATATCGGGATTGCATGAGAACCTTGATGCTTTGATCAACAAACATGCTCCGAACCATACGTAAACAGTAAGTACCTAGTGCAGATTGTGATATATAGGTACATGGCGATTTCACATGACAGGTCATCATTCAAACCGGCGCCAAAGTAGATGAAAGCACCCGTGAATGTTCACAAAGTGAGGAGAGCTGCCAGACCGAGCAGAAGTAGGTATACTTTGTAGCTGAAATACCCCTCCCTCCCGATGGACATCATCACCAGCACGTGAGAGGAAGTAGGTACGTTACCTACTCTTAGTTCTCTCCTTCGTCTTGAAACAATATGATGGGATCCTAAAGTGTATGTATATATTCGACACAAAGAACTGGGATTATAACCAAAAAACCCTGAATACCTTAGTAACTTGTGACAAGACCTCTTTCTGAAGCAAAATCACATACCGGTACAGATCTGTTTATTGAATCGTCTCGGTCTCGTATGTCCCTAGGTAGGTGGCCACGCTCGCTGGCATCTGTCTCACGAAGCTAGTCGTCCTCCGCAGTTCTTAGGTACCTACTCCCTGACACACAATTTAGGGCCGTGCCCAGACAGACCACATGAATTGAGAACGTGGAGAAAGAGAGAGAAACGTATCAAGCTTTTCCTTCTAGAAGAACCAACCCCAGGGTTCAGAGCTATCCACTCTACTACCTTACCTACAGTACTTATAGAAACCGCTAAATAGTTTACCCCTGGCATCGTAAACAAAAAACCGAAGTTCATCCAACTCATCCCTGAATCATGTCAAAACGGAAACGGCCAAACTCGGGCAATGCCGTCCGTCCGGCCAGATCCCCTTTTCAGTTCAAGACAGCCCGCCCGCCCGGTGGTGAGACGCCCGGAGAACCGGGGAACGGACGGACGGACAACAACCCCAGCTACATCGGTATTTAAAAGCGTGGTACTCCGTAACCGGTGTAGCATGAACGGTGGCGGCAGCAGTGGAATCGGCGACGTTCAAATAATAAACGGTGGGCAACAGCGGCGGCGGTGATTTGTTATTTTTATGCACCGACCAACCCCTTTCTTTGTTGTTTGTTGTTATGTGTTAAAACATCATTCATTCAGGATCCATAACCACCCACACACCCAAATCCTTCCAGAAGCCTTCCAAAACTGGAGAACTTACTTATAGACACACACAAAATTATGCGGCAATAGAATGTCAAGCAATGCCGAGGCTGAGTGGCCCTACGATGAACCGGGGGCAGTGGGGCCGCCGGGCTGGGAGACCGACGAAGGCCCGAAAAAAAGAGGAGAGACCCCTCAGGACATGTTTCATCAATTATTCTTGCTTATTGGTCTAGTCGTTCGTTGTCCGTCCTAAAATATGAAAAATACCGTTTCCATCCAGCCCGTCGCGGTGTGAAGCTTGCAGGGATGGCTGACAGCCTGAGGTGAGGAGGCGAGGCGAGGTAAGGCGGTGGTGATGGTAATATACATAAAAGGCGAACCGAAGGTAACATCATACCCGACCTCTTGTACCGTCCTCCAGCACGATTCGTCGGTTTGCAATGACAGCAAAAGAAACTGACGCAGTGGCGTGTGGCGGCGTTGGTTTCTCATCAACCATCTATCTGCTTCTTCTGTCAGTCAAGCTCGACCCAATAGACAGACAGAGGGCAGCTCTGCAACCGGGAAGGCGTTATCGCCCTACTATATCCCGTGTCGAAGCGAACATGCAAGTCGACCAATGAGCTTGTCGGACACCGCCATTCGAGATATTCGACACAACAATACGAGTAATAAAGGCTACCGTTTGAAAAAGGAATCCCAGTTGAACATCTGAAATCTTTCTCCCCGATCGGTGGAGAAAGAGGGACCTCAAGATCAGAATACACCACCACGCACGGCCGTGACAGCTTCGTACCGGTGACTTGATCAAAGTACCGAACTAATCCCTGGGATATTGTGGAGTTCTTTTAACAAGTACCCAAATGCGACTGCACCAGTAGTATTTTCGAATCTGTACCGGATAACTGGTTTGTGTGTCAAATCCAACCTCATCCAATGGGTTGCCGGGATCAAACGAGTTTAAACTTTCCGTTCGATGCTGCAGAACAAGGAAATAAGAGGGATGATGCTTAGAAGCTCCCCTTGCCAGACAGACCAGCAGAATCGATCCCGTGTTGCTGGTGGCGGGCGATCTTGGCGTGAAAGGACAGGACGAACGACGTATTGAGTTCCCGATAATGTTGCGGAATATTGTCTCGATGGGAAACATTTCGCCGCCTGCCGCCGGTGTCACCTTGACTGGTTCAGAGCGAGCTGATGAGAGCCGGACCTTTGTGAACAGCTGCTACCTACACCACGGAGAGCCGTCCGCCTACCATCAGCATGTGACTGAACCAGGACCACATCGGACGGCGGAGGCGTCCGAAAATTCCCGGGACGAGGGGTCTGAGTCCGGGACTTGGGCTATTCGTCTGCGCCAGCACAGAGCTGGTTGGTCTCTGATGATGACGACCAAGATGCCATACTGGAAAGGACTGGTTAGGCATCATCTACAAAAACATGTTTGGTGGCCTTTCCCCCACGTCTCCCACGGTCAGGCCGAGAGAAGTCATGAGGACCGAGCCGAGTCAGTCCAGTGGACGATGGTCAAGAAACAATCCAGAAGGTGGATGGTTGGTGTGGTTCACACACGAGCCGGGCAAGCAAGATCCAGCTACCGGAGTGTGGGCAAGATGCATCATAAAAGTCGGTGAGCGGGCGTCCGGCAACAATGATTTGTACACGACAACAACCGCCCGCACGCACGTTTGGCGGGGAAGGACAGAAGAGTTGCATGTAAGTCAGATAAGAACACAGAAAGCCTTATCGCCCTACTGGAAACGCGCTGTAACTGCGACCCGCTCTTGCCCGCTGCAACTAGCAATTTGCGTGGACAACAGTCAAGCTGCCCCTCCATCATGTCGCGTATAAGAGAGGGGCAGCTGTGATCCAACCGCAACCGAGCGACTACCTAACTGCTGCGCGCAAACGACAAGCGGCTGATGGTCTGATGTGTTGTTATCGGGCCTGATTTCTGGATGTCATGAGAATGATTATATTCAATTTATCGAGAAATATTAAAAGCTATCAAAACCAGGGAGTCGAGGGTTGATTTTCGCCAGATGCAAGCCACATGCACCGTCACCCATCTGCGGCCCCCCTCCCCCGCCATCAGATAATGATCAATCGCAATCACCATCAGGCGCGCTTTGCTTTTTGATGAAGCCACACAGTCAAAATGGCTGCGAGGGTTTCACAGCCCAAAAATTCCAAGCTGAGATCTGTTTCCCTTCCTGTCGGACCGTAGCCGATACGTGACGAAAACGGTGTCCGTCGTATTGCGATCAACGAACGGGTGCCAGCCTCTCAGCTGGCATCATCATCAGTATCACTGTTCTAGTACTTTCAGCCCCAATGAATGTCCGTCACGTCTCTGGGGTATATATATATATCGGTATGTGGGAAAAAAATGAACGGATCCCCGACCCGAGAGACAAGACATCTCTCGTAGGTAGGTCAAGAAAGGATCCACAAACATGTTGTCGAGAAAGCAAAAGACAGGCGGTGAGTGAGCCTCACACACTTGGTTTACTAAAAAGAAATTTCTTAACCGGATTCATGCGTTGAATGCATTCTCCGGAGGCTAGCAGTGCTTGCAATGGCGTGTTGTCTCTGCTCCGTCGTCCCGTTCCCCGATCCCTTCCCGCAGTTTCTCGTCCGAGGGAGGTCTCATCGGCAGCCGTGGGTTTGAGATCGTGATGCTGCTGGCTACGAGCTTCGGCCCCCTTTTTGGTGCTTGAAAACGGAAGATTGAGATGATGTGTCGCGTTACACATACGGAATGATGAGCCTCTTTTGAGATTATTACTTTTTTTCTTTTGTTTCAGTACGTACCTAGGTTAATGTCAGGGGGTGTGCTGTGTGGTCTAATCTGCCTTATTTGATGTGATGTCGTCCACGATTGGCTCTGTTATAGCCCAGCCGGAATCCCAGATCTCTCTGCCGGATTGTCTCATTCATTTTTGTAAAGCTTCACATTTCGTTCTGATCTCAGCCGTCCGTGAAC